AAGACATGAACTAGGTATTTTAAAAGGGGCTTCTCTGGTAGAAACAGATTCCTAAGTTCCATCCACTTACCCCAGAGCCCATGCAGGGAGCAGGGGTATCCTTAGAGACCTAGCTAAGGATAAACCATTGATCTCGTCCAACCTCTTAAAGACACACAGAGGTGAAGTGACTTTTGCTGTGTCACACAGCTGTAAGTAGTCGTGCTGAGATTAGTAGCTAAGGCATTCACCTTCTAAGTCAGTATTTTTCCCTATACTTCATCCTGATCATCATCATCTTCATCTTTATTTTCATCACAGTGTTCCTCAGCCTTTAATAAACATTGTCCACCAAACCAGCTTCCTTTTGTGGCTGTTGGTAACTTTGGACATGGTCCGTTGAGCCTACCATAGTGTCCCTTCCAGGAAGGAGACAAAAATGGTGTAGTTAGGAAGAAATCTGGATTGAGAGACAGAAGATCTGAACAGGGCCTCACTTTCCTTATGTGCAAAGTGGGAGGAACACCATGCACTTCAAAGATTCATTTGGAGAACCCAGTAAGGTGGCATCCACTGCAGTGCTTGGCACTGTGCCACAGTGGGTGTGCCATGAAAATGCATTCCATTTGAATGGGAGACCTGCAGGGAACCAGTTTGAGGAGCCTTTGCTTTGCCTGAGTGCACCCAGTGTTTCCAGCAAAATAAACTCAGCTTCTTTCCTCTGCATTAACGTTGCCTTCTTCGGCTCCTTCTGTGGCCTTAGCTTAAAAATAAATAAACAAACATGTGACAGAGTGAGAGTTGGGGAAGGGATGTGGCAAAAGACAAAGAAAGAAAGAGAGAGGAAGATTGATTTCTGGGCAGAATTTATACCTTTTTGGCTTTTTCAAAGGTAAATGAATAGATTGTTGTTGTTTTTCAGCCTGCCGCTGAGAGTGTGCGTGCGCGCGCCTCTGTTATGTATAGACCCTTTTAAAGGCTTCTGGAAGCAATCCCTAACATTTTCTATAGGTGCAGACAGATAATTGAATGCTTTCAAAGACCACTGTGAGGCAGGGAAAGTTCAATTTTGCTGTATGCTGGTGCTTGCATTGACGGAGCGCCCCGTGTGTGTGTTTTCTCAGGAAGCTGAATTTCTTTTTTGCTTTCCTTCCCACTACTGCCCCTTCACCCCTTGTTCTCCCCCCACCTCTGATGAAGCACTTAGAGAGAGGACAAGAAACAATATATAATCGCCCCAAAGTCACACCAAATAAACACAGCAAAAGCTCCCAGCCGCTTCTCTGGCTGCAAATGAAAAGCGCTGCCTCCTGGCTCCTGGGCCTGACGGACAGGGGGCCTTTCTGCTCGGCTATTATTAGAGCCGATGTGGCAGAAGCCCAGGCAGCTCTGGGCGGTGGGGGGTTCTTGTTTTAATTTGTTGCCTGTGCAGGCAGAACAAAGCGACATAGGGAGAGAGGACGGGGGAATTTCCTCCTGCTGCTATTTCGCCACACGACAGCCATACCGTGTGTGAGTGTGTGCGTGTGTGTGTGCACATGCATGAACTGGAGATGTCTGTGTACAGTGCACGTATGTGTCAGGGGGGCATGAACTGGAGATGCCCATGTGCCATGCATTCGTGTGTGTGTGTACATATGTGCATGTGTATATGCGGAGGCCAAGCCCTGAGTGTGCCCATTGTGTAGAACAAGAATATGCTGCATGCAGCCAGTGCTATGTTCTTTTAGGGCATGAAGGAAAGACACACAGGGGGTTGAGATAAGGAGGTAAAGAAAGCCCACCCCTCCAGATTCATGGCAGATTCAAGTAACCTTGACCATCAATCTCTGCAAATGATATCTACTTTCGTTCTCACAACTACCCTTTCAAAAATTGTCTTTCTCATTTTATAGATGAAGAAACGGAAGCTCAAGAGATATTGAGTGAATTACCCAAAGCCTAGTTCAACCGGCTCTAATTACAGTACGATTTCTGCTATATTTGGTGTGTCCTACTGGGTTGTAGGGTAAAGAAGAAAGAATTTCTTAAGGTTTCAGATCCAAGCACTGGGGAAGGAAGATTCAGCAGGTTTACTCTTTGTGGTGGATGGGGAAGGGCAGCAGGTATAGTGCCCCTTCCGGTTTAGGGAAAGGGATGGCCCAGATGTTTCATGGCATCACTGTAATGTCTCCACTGCTGATGATACTAACGGCCACCTAAAAAGGGACATCGTGCCTCCTGTGTGCCAGGCTCTGGACTAGAGCCCTAGGTACCTGTTCTCCTATGTAACTCACCTGCTCAAGGTAACCAACTTGGTTACCAGGATGTTAACTGAGGCTCCTTCCTTAAGAGATGTGACTTTGTCTTATCCAGGGGTATGGAGAGGGAAACGCTTTCCTTGTGTTAAGAGTACAGTACTCGGTGTCTTAGTTTCCTCCAGGTCCCATTGCTACCTCTCCTGGCTGGACTGAAACAGTTCTCATTCCAAGCTGCACTTCTTTGCTCTGAGAAGCACAAAGGAATGCCCAACAAATGCTCTTTTTCTGGCTTACTTCCCCTCTTGGAATGCAAGCTCCTTGAAGACAAGGCTGCATGGCCAAGGGATTTTCATTTGCTTTAATCTTTCATCCAATCTAACATTTCTAGCTACCACACATTAATTGAGCACTTAGGATATTCTACACTGTGCTAAGTACTTCATGTGCATCCTCACCTTAGACCCAGGAGGCTGGGATTATTGTTATTCCCATTTTACAGATGAGGAACTTGAGATTCAGCAGTGTTAGGCCACTTACCCACACTCAAACACACAGTGAGTATTCAAATCCTGTTGGAACCACCAAATCCATGCTGCACTTCTTGCCTTCTTCCTCATAGTGTATGCTGTTTAAGTGCATTTTCTCCTCTCCTTTCAACTTGTACCACCTCTCATCCTAATTATTGGAGGTGTTTAGTGCTATATCACCCTCCCATGGAGCCCTGGATCCCCTTGGTAGGATTTGTCAAACCTTCAATGAGGCTCTGCTATGTAATCCTGGGGACACAGAGCAGACAGTCCCTATTGTTTTGAGAATTCTAAAGGGAGTTTCCCTTGTCCACCTCTTATCACCCTAGGAGGCAGTAGGGTTTAAGAACCCAGGCTCTGAAACCAGAAAGTCTGCATTAGAATTCTAGATCTACCTCTTATTCACTATTTAACCTTGGGCAAGGTTCTTTATGACTTGGTTTTCTCATCCATAAAATGGTCATAACTATAGTATGTACAGCATGAGGTTATTATGTGAATAAAATGAGCTACATGTATAGAATGCTTAGAATTGTGTCTGTAACATAGAAAACACTGAATAAATGTTAGTTAATATTGCCTTAATATTGTTATCTTCCATAGAATCATAGATTTTAAATCTGGAAGGAATCTCACAAGTCACTTGCTTGGCTCAACATTCCATCTTTAGGCAAATAGAGGATTTGTAATCAGAAGACCTGAATTTGAATCCCAAATCTACCACTTACCTCTGGTATCTATAACTTTGAGCAACTCTTTTGACCTCTCTTGGTCTCATTTTCTTCAAATATAAGAAAAGAGTTGTAATAACAAATATCTGCCCATCTCATAGAATTGTTGTGAGGATCACATGAAGGGATGTAATGAAGACGGCAGATAGAATTTTACATTAATATGTAAATTTGATTTGTACCTGAAGATAAATCAGACTTAAAGAGGTTAGATGGCTTACCCAAGAAGAAACTCCTCACCTACTAAGATGGTATCAGCAACTCAACAATATGCAGTCAAGTTTCCACCATCATACCCTTGAGTTTGGAATGCAGACTCAACACCTAGGAGCTGATTGAAGTAAATGAATGCTGGATCCAGGCAAGAAATTCTCAAAACAACAAGATTGAGGTATCAGGGTGCCAAATGGCAAACAGACTGAAGAAACAAAACAAGGTCAAACTATGAACAAACTCTCACCATAACAGAAGTTAATATATAGATTACATCAACCAAGTATAGGTATCTTATGGGCACAGTGTTAGGGGAAAATAATGTTTATCTGATTCTGCCTACAACTGTAGATAAGAAAGAACCACTTGCTTTCTAGGTTTCTTATAAAGGTTATTTATTGTATTGCCTCTGCTCAGTCCTGCCTTTAAGGAAACTGCCCATTCACTAGCACCTAGCATCCACTGTCCCCATGTTTAATGCAGGAGCAGCCATTTAAAATACCGGGTCTTGCTCTCCGGTCTCAGCCTACATAGGTCTAGGGACAGGCAACTGACTCAATCAGGGCCAATCAGATCTCTTTCTTGAGATATTTGAATTTTGCTCCCAGGCTGAAGCTTTAAGGCCAAGGAGCTGTTGGCAGCTTTGTTGCTCCATTTATTACCATTCCTGAGTGCCAGCGCTTGTCTTTGGACCTGGCTTTGACACCTTGTCCCCTTTGTTCCCACATAGCTCCTGTCTTCACCCAAACTGATTGCAGTGGTTCAAGCTGTCAGCCCCATGTATATCCAAGAGCATCTGATTCACAGGGCATACATGGCTTAGTTTTCAGGGAACTAAGCTGAGATAAGATAAGGGATGTTCTATGCCCTTTGCTCTTCTTGGGACAGACCTTGAATTCAGACCTCTCAAGGATGCTGAGGTTCTTGGACACAAGCCCCCTTTGCTTCTCCTCTATGACAGCTTCCTACCCCTCCTAACTCCTGTATCTTTATGAGCTACTAATTCTTAGTTCCTATAATCTCACTCTAATGAGACATGGTCTTGGGAAGCAATGAATCTCTTTTGTGCTAAGAAGTAAATATTCTTGAATGTGATTATTTGCACTCAGGGTGTTGGGAAGCGGGGAGTGATATGTTTAACATTTCCAGAGGGCATTCTCTTGAGTAGTTAAAAAAATGCACATGCATTTGTCAATTGTTTTCATAATCTTAAACATAGAGACAACTCAATGTAATAGTTTTGTTTAGTTTTAGATACGCAGTAGTGTGAGACTACATTGAGGCACAGATTACAAAATGATTGAGAGCCATTTCAGATTTTCTTTACCATCTTTAATAAGATTTAACTTACATACAGTAAAGTATACAGGTAATAAGTGTATAGCCCAATGAATTTTTACATATGTATACTGTATATCTAAACATTTTACATATGTATACTGTATATGTATACCTGTATAACTACCACCCAGATCAAAATTTAGAACATTTCCAATACCCTAGAGGGCTTCCTCATATCTCCTCCCAGTCAATAACCACCACCACTATCACTATCCACCCCTCCAAGATAACTATTCTGACCTCTAATTATCATAGATAACTTTTGCATGTCTTGGAATTTCTTATAAATGTAATCATACACTATATTCCCTTCTGTATCTGGCATCTTTGGTTTGACATTTTAAATGTGAAATTCATCCATATTGTATGAATAGTACTTTGTCCTTTTTCATTGCTGCATTAACACAAATGCAATCGAATCATTGAATAAACATAGCTGTAATTTATTTGGCTATTTTACTGTTGATAGACATTTGGGCAGTTTTTAGTTTAGGCCTATAGGAATAAGTTTGCCATGAACATTCTTGTACATGTCTTTGGTAGACACAAGCCCTCATTTTTGTTGGATATAAGCTCCAGTGAGTCATACAGCATAGGTATGGTTAGCTTCAGCAGAGACTGCCAGAGAGTTTTCCAAAGAGGTTGCATCCACTCCACGATTTAAACAGTTTGTTATCAAACAGTCACTGAGTACCTATTATGAGCCAGGCACTCCACTAGGCATTGGGAATACTGAGAGGAAGCATGCACGTCCATGGCCTAGAAGTACTAATAGCCTGGTAATATCAACAGATACTTTTTATATAATACGGTAAGTGATAGGTGAGAGGTGTGCCTGACGGGAATCCTTTAGGGCTCTAGGGTTGGCTTCCCAGACTTCAGGTGACCAAATGAAAGCTTGGCCAGGTAAAGAAGGGATGGCATTTGAGGGAAAGGTTGCAGAGGCTCCTCTAGTCCCTGCCAAGCCCTGCAGGCTCTTCTCTGGCTGGGAGTCTCACTAATGGAGCAGCCAGGCCTGGGCCAGGCTGTCAGGAGAGAACAAACGGCTGCCAACATGAGCAATGATTTAAAGGAGAAGGTTGAGACATCGGTGAGATGAATACCATTGACTTCGCTGCCATCCTGGAAGCGATTCATCAGGGCGGCTTGGCAAAGAGGGGCATAAATCCCCAGCCAGCGAGGCCAAGCAGGGCTCTGGGAGGAGGAACAGGATGTGATGGCAGCTTCCAAAGCTGTCTCCAGCTGGGCCTGTGCCAGCATTTTGAAAAGCGTCAGTTGGGAGGAATCCCCAGAAGATGACTTTGTAGCTAGGATCCCTTCTCTCCTGAGTTGCGGGTCACCAAGGAGGACACCCTCCCTGGTTACTTGCTGTGTGTGCTTCCCATTCTGTGCACCTGCTGGAGGCTTTTCTTGAAGCAGGCTCTGCGTTGCCTTCTCCTTCTCTCCAGCCTGAATCTTGGCACTCCTGGAGACTCTTGGTTCAAATGATGTATTTATTTTCTTAACGAAAGGGAAAGATTTAAGAGTGGGTGTGAAATGCATCCTCCTCCCTCCTCTGACCCTCCCACAGACTTCCTGCAGCAACCCGAGGCCCAGCGCAGCAGACACCTGGGAAGTCAACAGAAACAAACATGGAGTGAGCATTGCAGAGCACGTGAGTGGATGAGAGATTTTTATGAGTGAAATTTGCTCACAAGCTTCTTTAATAATGTTATTCATCTTCTGTCAAAGTCGTCACATTAATGTAGCGGGAGAGATTTAGAGGAGATGAATTAAGACTTAAATACACAAAATGACTTGGGGAATATTTAAATACAATGCCTTTGATTCTGGTGCAGCATCCTTCCTCACGGGTGTCGCTCATGACTCTTGCCAGGCCCACACAGCCTGGGAATCAACAATTCCCCCTCTCCTGCCCCCTCCCTCCAATGCTTCATTCATCCAATGCTTCTGTGCACCTACCCTGTGTGAATTCATCGTCTCCACAGAGCACAAATACAATAGCCTGGGTGCCTGTTCTGGCTTAGACAGGCCTTTGGGACCTCAGTTTCTTTATTTGGAAAAATGGGTGGGTTTGGCTCTGAATGTGGATGCAGAGATTCCTTAGAGAGAGTGGCAGAGAAACAAAGGGAGCCCAGATGCAGAGTCATGGACCCTCTCCCATTCCTCCATCACAGTTCATTGCTATCTACCTGTACATACTGGAAGTTGTGTATTAAAATAAAAGCACTTTGGCTTTAAAAAGAAATTATATCTTCCTTTCTTCCTTCCATGAGTATTTAGGGAGTCCCTTCCCTGGACTAAACATTGTGTTAAGCATTCGGGACAGTCACTAAGCAAATCTGACAGGGCTCCTGCCCTCCTGGTCGGGCAGTCCAACTCACATTCCCTGGTGGTACAACTTAGAATAAAGAGCATCCTGCTGCAATTAAGCGGAGAAAGCTTCCTGAAGGAGGTGGGCTTCAAAGCCCCTGCCTCTCCATTTGCTGTGCATGCTGGACTTCTGGGGCAGACAAAGCTCCTTTCTTCCCCAGGGGCGGGGCGGCGGCGGGGGGGAGGGGGGACTCAGCTCTGGCTGCAGAGAGGGTGAAGTGAGGACATCAGACTAGAAGCCAAATTTAGAGGCAAGAAGAACAGCCCAGACATTGGGCACCCACTCAATGCATCTCCCCACTGTCTGACTGGGCCCGAGCCAAGAGTCAGAGACCTGGGGAGGTTGGGACCCTATTCCCTTCTCCTCCCATCTACCACATCCACCCCCAGCCCCCACCACAACTCTCACCATCCTCACTTTGCTCTCCCACCTCTCCCCTTCCTCTGCTTCGAGTGGCTGGAGAAGGGGAAAGGGCCATCTTCTTGGATTGGAGCCCTTCCCACCCTGCTGGCCTTCTTCGACCTCTTCTGGATCTGCTACACAACAGCAGAGGCAAGGCCTCTTCCCCTGCTGTCCTTCAAACCTCCCACAGATCATTGCTTTCAAGGCAGGGCCAGACGTACCCCTCAACCTGACCCAGATGGGTTGCTCAGACAGGCTCCAGATTATGTCACAGGGGGCACAAAAAGAAATAGACTGGCAGGAGCCCATGTAAGCTCTGATGAGTTGTTTTTGCTCTTCCTTCTAAATCCAGGTTTCTCAGCGATGCTCTCTGTGTGAGTTTTAGGTTCAAGAAAAAAGAAATATACTCAGGCTGCTGAGATTGTTGCAAGAACACAGGAATGCAGCCTGATGAAAAACCAGGCCTGGGAGCCGCTCAGGGGCCAACCAGCTTTTGAGACAAGGTCAGCAGATCATGCCGCCAGCAGCAGGCCTTGTCCCTGACCTAGAATCCCTCCACAGAAGAGCTTGGGCGACTCTCGGCATTTGCTTCTCTGGCTTCTACCATCACCAAGGAACTCAGCAGCCAAATCTCTGTACCTCTTACATTCAGACTTCTGAAGGAGAGCACGACAGATGTGGCTAGTCACCATCTGGGACTGGCCACCACTCGCTGGGAAGGTTTAAAACCTGACTGACACACAGACCACTGGCAGGCTGGAAATTGGCTACCCTGGGGTCTGAGGCCTGCTCCTGGTCCTGTAGCTGTCGCGAGAGGATAGGTTAGGCCTAGGGTGAGTTTGGCACAAAGACCCATGCATAAGAAACCCTCAGAAGAGAGCTTGAGACTTGGGGTATGGCAGAGCTGGGGTTCTCCAGCGGGAGCAGGCCAGGCGGCAGGGGGCAGTATAACAGACAGCTACCTGTTTACTCCCCGGGATTCCAAGGAAACAAGAGGGTGGAAAGGAAAGGGATCAGGATTCAGAGACTGAGGCTTTCAGAATGTGAGACACTCACAAACCAGGTCTATGTGTGATTCTCTGCTTGATCTCAAAGCAGCTTACACAAGGAAAGAATCATAGCTCTTCAAAGAGCGTGCCTCATTTCTGTTGACCGTGTCAGTCTGCAGGGGTGGGCCAGAATGCAGATGTCAGGGTAACGAAGCTTAGAAGGAGATGTACTCAGAACCTAGAACAAGGGGACTGGGTGGACCCCCAGTCCAGAAAAACCAAGGAGAGGGGCTAGGGCACAGTCAGTAGGACCCATGCATTTCTTCAGGCCCTCAGCACCACTCTAGAAGAACATTCCAGGCTGTGTGCTTCAATTCAGAAAGCAACCAGAGACAGCAAGATGTTCCACCCCTCTTTCTCTCGTTTGCATTGAGTGGGGAAATCTGGCTGTTCCAAGGTCCATTCTCAAACCCTTCCCTTTGCAGGACCTGAGGCCAGACTCCAGGGAACATGCTGACCCTTCTCAGACAGATATGACTTCCATCCCATGGCTATGTGTTAGACTTACTTTTCTTAGTGATGAACTTGAGCATGTGCTGGGTCATCCACACCCTCTTGCTGGGACCCCTTTGTCCTAAAGGAGATGGGTTTGTAATTCAGCTGGCTGGGGAGAAAATAGTGGATCCCACAAAAACTTCCCAAGAGCTGAAATTGTATGGGAGTCATATAGCGGCAAACCGAGAACTACTGCTTTTTCTCCCTAAGTCCCTGTAAGAAGCCAGGGCAAATCTATAGTTCAGTCAATTGATGGTACAAGGGACAGGGAAAGGCCTCTTTAGTTGCTGCCGGGCTTCCCAGCCTATCAAGGGGGCATTTTATTTTTCTAGAGGCAAGAGGGAAATTAGATGACTCCATGAAGTCCTGCTAGGACTGCCCCCTACTGATTTCTATCTGAGAGGGGCTGGAGGAGTCCTGGGGTCAGCATAAGGTATTTCTGACTTTATGCAATAGAACCAGCACATCGTTACCAGTATGTTGAGAGTAAGCCTCTAATATTAACCCAGGCCTTAGTGATATTTGTATTGATGGAGTCTTCTACCCAACACTCTTCTTTTAGGCTCATGGAGAGGATCTTTCAATCCTTCCAAACAAGAATGGGAATGCAAGGACAAGCTCACCTCTTTATTGCCTGCCTCTTTGCCTCTGCCTATCTGTACCCCAGCAGTAGGGGGAGTTCAACATCATTGCTCCTGGAATTCTTGAGTCCCAGACAGATGGCAGTCAACAGCCTGGTGACAGGGTACATTTAAGGGGATCTTAGTGGCCTTCTCAAGCAGCAGACGGGCAATTTATATGAAAGCATTTTGTAAAATATTTGTTGACACAACAGCTATTGTTCTATTATCGTTGTTGTTGTTGTTAATACAACACCCTTGCCACTCTCAGAGAATTGAAAGTGGGAATGTTCTTCAATGATTACAGTCCCCTTGGAGACTGGCTGTCTTCCAGAGGTATCTATTTTTAATTTCACTAATGCTTTTCTTCCAAGAGGACACAGAAGTCCCACCCAAAAAGTGGGACCTACCTAGAGTTCAGTCTCATAACTTGTTGGACTGCCTGTCCTAGGAATAGAATTTAAATGAATTTATGTTGGGGAATAAAATATACATTGTAATATAAATGTATAAGGTACAAAGGGTCTTGTCTTCCATCCTACCTTCCTACCACGAGCCCATGAACCCATGTCCCCGAGACTTTGGCAAATTTGATCCTAGACACTAAGCTGACACAGAACACCTTCGATCCATGTGGCTTGGTGTGGTGATGACAGCACTAGGCTAAAAATAAAGAAATCTAGGTCAAAGTCTTTATCTCCCTTTACCAACTTTGTGCCCTTGGGTGACCCTTGGGACCCTTGCTTTCTTCAAAAGCTATGTAACAATTGCTATGGCCTGAATCTTCATGTCCCTCCAAAATTCACATGTTGAAATGTGAGCTCCCAAGGAGATGGTATTAGGAGATGGGGCCCTTGGGGGGTGATGAAGTTATGAGAGTAGAGCCCTTATGATTGCCATGAGTGCCCTTGCAAAAGAATCCCCAATAAGTTAGATAGCCCCTTCCGCCACGTGAGGTCACAATGAGAAGGCACCATCTATGAAGCAGGAAACGAGCGTTCCTCACACCCCAAATCTGCCTTGATGTTAGACTTCCCAGACTCCAGAACTTTGAGAAATATATTTTTGTTGTTTATAAGCTACCCAGTCAAAGGCACTGTGTTATAGCAACCTAAATGAACTACGGCAACAATAACACCTCCTATCATTGTTGGGAGAACCAAATGAGATAATGGAGATACACTCCCAAGACCCAGGGCATACTGAGAGCTTCATTAAATAGTCGCTGAATTGGAGTTGAAGAAGGCGGTGCACACAAAGTAGGTAGGATTCCAGGGAAGGGCTAGTGGGAACGTGTTCTGCACAGGTTGAGGACAGAAAACGGCCAAGTCTATGCTACATTTAGACCTCATCAACCACTAATGAAGGGAAACCCAGCTAGACGCCCAGCCATAGGACCTGTCAAATTCTAATATGTGTGTTCTGTAAAAATCAACAACACTCCCCCAAGGATTCATTAAAGCAAACAGCCCCTCTTATTTATCAATGCTATTCACCCCAAGTGAAGATGACAACAATCAATTAAATAAACAAATCAAGTTTAAAAAAGCTTAACTCAAGGCAGACATGATTAATTTCCTCATCATTGATTGACATTAACTATGTTAGCCAGTTTTGCTATGGTAACAAACAACCCCTAAAATCTTAGTGGCTTATATCTTACAAGCATTTATTTCTTGTTCACAGAGCATGTTGGCAGCTGCAGATGTGCTTCATGAGTCCTCTCATTCAGGGACTTAGGCTGAAAGGGCAGCCCCTAATTTGGGACCTGCTGATCTGACGATAGAACTGAGCAAGAGAAATGGCCGAACACACCATACTCCTTGTAGCTTCTGAACTGACTCATATTCCATGAATCCAAGTAAGTCACATGGCCAAGCTTGACAGGGGTGTGGGGAGCTGGCACACAGGGGCAGGAGGTGGGGGCGTGGAATATACTCCATTTTCTTGTTTGTTTGTTTGTTTGTTTGAGACGGAGTCTTGCTCTGTCGCCAGGCTGGAGTGCAGTGGCGCTATCTCGGCTCACTGCAACATCCGCCTCCTAGGTTCAAGTGATTCCCCTGCCTCGGTTTCCTGAGTAGCTGGGATTACAGGCACCCACCACTACGCCTAGCTAATTTTTGTATTTTAGTAGAGATGGGGTTTCATCATGTTGGCCAGGATGGTCTGGATCTCCTGACCTCGTGATCTGCCTGCCTTGGCTTCCCAAAGTGCTGGAGTTACAGGTGTGAGGCACCGTGCCCGGCTATATACTCCATTTTCTAAAGGCCACCACAAGCCACAGGGAAGCAGCATGGGTGCACAATGCTCTCAAGGGGAAAAAGTGAATATCCTAGAGCAACAGTACAATCCACTACCGTGAATCTGACCCTGTCCTTCTCACTCCATACACACCCACATGGATTTTCATACCTTTCTTATTTAGAAGATATTCTATGTCCTATTCATATTATCTTCATGTATTTGATGCATTCGTGGGGGATGATTTGCAGTACAGGCCATATATTTGGGGGTCTTCTGAACAACTAGAAGCCCCTTCATCCAGAGAGTCTGCATACGTTCTCCTGTAATCTTTCCTGCGGGCTCCCTTCATAGATGTCTGGACTGTCTGGGCTTCCCTTCTCTCAAACTGGGCTCACTTACTAAAGTGACCTTTCTCTTGACTAGGCAGCTACTTTGACGACCTCCTCAAATGCAATGCAAAAGCTGGACTCTCCTCTACCACCAAGCACTCCCAGGCTCCTGGGCAGTGCCATCAGCTCCACTCCAGCCATCCCTCCAGACAGGTGCCTGAAAAACAGAATTTCTGCTTCAGGTAATGCAGCTGCTTCTCTCTGAATAATGCATGCCGTACACCACACCAGACCAAGGACAAGCAGCTGAGAAATTGGGGAGCTTTCATTTGATTTCATTATTTTGCTTTTAGACCCAAGCATTTGCTGCTGTCAGGCATTTCAAAGAGGACAAGACAACAAGGTGTTCTGAGACAAGCAGAGAAGGTCAGTCATCCTTGGGGACTGAGAGGATTCAGCAGAGAAGGCCAGGCCGGACAGCCCTTCCCAGGGGCACAAGGACCTAAAGAGGTACCTCAGTGGGTGTGTCCCATGGGGGGTATAGGAAGACTTGAAATTCTGAGTAAACGGACTTTCAGGGGGATGCTTCCATTGCATCTGGGGGCAAACACCTCCATCTACATCAGTTAGTGACAGAGACAAGCAGGACACATGGAGAGCTGTGAGACGGTAATTAGGAATCACAGAGTCCAAAGCAAAGGATCGTCGTTAGTAGATGACCTTTGATGAAGGAAATTTGACTCCAGCAAACAGGTAGAGTTCAAGCCAATGAATTAGCCTAGCTACAATAGAATCAGGCACCCACGAGCCTACTCCTACCTGGTTCAGGCTTCCCATAGTACCTGCTTTGGGGTCCCAATGTGAATCATGTTGACCCTAAAGATGCCAGCCTTAAGCACATCCACACCCCACCACCACAGTACACACAGGCTCTGCTCTCACAAGGTTGGCTCTTTCCTTGTCCCTGAAGAGCACACATGAGTTCTCATCTCATGTCCATGCCATTGCTCACGTCCATGCCCCCCACTGGAATCCTCTCCCTACTCCTCTCTGCCTACCCAGATGCTTGCTATTCTCTATGGAGCAGCATGGGTCCTACTACTATTTAACCACTGAAGCTCCCATTGATCTCTCCCTTCTCTCCATTTCTACAATTACCCCTGTGAATGACCAGTTTGTATTATTCTTGATAATTATAATAATACATTATTTCAAAGCATTTCCTCTCTGGTCCTCACATTATGCTGCTCAGAGCTATAGGGTACTCCTGGGCGCCCCCAGGGCCACTCTGGGAACATAGAAAGGCTGAGGAGGTGGCTCACCCTCAGGATATAAGCCTCACACTTATGTCCCTGCCCCCTCTAACTACAGCAGCTCAGCTCTTGATCTGTGTTTCATTTTAGAGTTTCACATACAAATTTTTTTTTTGTTTTAAAAAGGATTGCACTATTGATTTAGAAATGACTGCATTTTTATTTCATCCTCATGAGAAGTGTGTGAGGCATGTAGGACTAGGTATTATCACCCACATTTTGCAACTGAGGAGCCCGAAGCTCAGGGAGACAAACTGTCTCATCAAGAGCACACAGCTAAGGGAGGAGGGAGAATCTCGATTTCTGTCTTCTGAGTCTAAATCCAGTGTATTTACAATCCACACTTGGGCTTATCTCTAACTTAATTGTTAACTTCTCTCAGAAGCAGAAACTGAATTTTTATTATTTATTTATCTGGTTTTCTTTTCTCTTTCTTTCCTTCCTTCCTTCCCTCCCTCCCTCCCTCCCTCCCTCCCTCCCTTCCTTCCTTTCTTTCCTTTCTTCTTTCTTTTTTTTTTTTTTTTTTACAGAGTCTTGCTCTGTCACCCAGTCTGGAGTGGTACAAATGGTACAATCTCAGCTCACTGTAACCTCTGCCTCTGGGGCTCAAGCAATCCTCCTGCCTCAGCCTCCCAAGTAGTGGGGACTACAGGCATGCACCTCTGCCTGGCTGATTTTTGTATTTTTTGGAGAGATGGGGTTTCGCCATGTTGCCTAGGCTGGTCTTGAAATCCTAGTCTCAAGTGATCCGCCTGCCTTGGCCTCCCAAAGTGCTGGAATTACAGGCATGAGCCACTGCACCTGGCCGTTCTCTGTTTGTTTCTGATTCTGAACATCGTTGTGGGCACACAGTAGGTTCTTACTACTTACCTAGCCCTGATTGCAGGTGCACCCTTGGCTTTGCTGGAGATGCAAGGCCTGGCCTCACCTCATGCCTTTCTTAGGCAGCACATACCTATGAGTGAGTGACTTACAAGGCTGTACTAGGTACCTGGGCATTTTATGTAATCAAAGGGATACTTTCCTGCTCTCTTTCTCTTGCTGTTGACATGGTTACAAAATCTTATTATTAGCCCAGAGGATGGGGTAATAGGACATGACATTCACATTGTCAGTGTTTTAAAGAGCTGTAGTTACCTCCTGGAGAATAATCTGTGTATTGTAGCAAGCAACAGTGCTGCTGCTGCTGCACCTGGTGCAGCTCCTGTTTTCCGGCTCCCTCTTCATCCTTCTGCAGTTCTGAGACAGAGGCCTTCCCACCAGGAGGCAAAATCAGGTATCCTTCTTGGCTACCCTGGCCACATTGTGGGGATACATCACGATTCCTGTCCTCATGACCTGGGGAGGAGGCATGCAGGGAACCACTTTTAGGTAAGAGAAGGAGCAGAAGCAGTGGGCTGACTCACAAAGGAAAAAAAAAAAAAAAAAGATAAATCAAGATAAAATTGTTTCTAAATTGAATGTTTTTCACTATTTTCAGTGTGGTATCTGCAGTGCTCCAAGATGATTCCCTCTCGGGGGCTTCAGAAAAGCTGTAAATAGAATGAATTGCTTTTAGGGACTTACTCTGGTAGTTCGCTTCTCAAGAAAATATATGCTAATGCATGTAGACTATCATTATTGGGGAGACCTATGTCCCGACTCTTTTATGTCTATGAAGAGCAGGTTTCTGATTGCTAGCATTTTGCCAAAGTCTTTGTCATGCGTGGGCTGAATATCTAGCAGAAAGCGGCGGATTCAGCCACAGCTACATGCTGTGTCTCTCCTAGGCCAAGGTTGGAGGGGGGTCTTGGTTTGCCTAAGAGAAGTTTCTTATGAAACCAGAAAGAGGGAAAGCACAGATTTTTCTAAGAGCCCCAATAAAAGCCAACTCGGTCCAGACTCGCCTGCAATTCTGAGACCTCAGAGAGGTTTAGAAGCAGGGAGGCCCCGGCTCCACGGGATGGGGGAACTTCCTTGGTCCAGCAGGATGCAGTGCTACACCCAGCCAGAGGGTGGCAGCACGTCCCAAACGCCCCACGGCTTTCTTTGTTTTCTGACCATTCCAGGGCACTGTTGTGGGACCGCCTTCCCCATGCTCAGCGAGCCTCTTCTGCGTCTCTTTCTGCTGTGGCAAAGTGGGTTAAACAGCGCGCGGATTTGCGAGGAACACAGCCAACAAATGAGATATCAAACGCAGCTTCCCATGTAAGAGATCAGACTCCGGTGGGCACACACGCCGGCGCTCTGCTGGAGCTCCTTGGCTCTGCAGCCAGCTTCATTTAGGATTCATAAATACTTTTGCACACTCCCGCGCATACAGCCGCCAAAGGAATTTCATTCTGTATCATCTGCATTCAAATGCAACAAAGTGAAAAAAAAATGTGGACATTAAAAAGAAGGAGAAGAAGAAGGAAGAGGCTCTGAAGAAAATCTGAGGCTCGGAGTGGTGGGTGTTGGGTAGCTGATGACTTGAGGAAGGCTTCCTGCACCTCTGTGTTCCTACAGAGAAGCCTGTCCCTGACTTCAGTTCACCTGTGGCGTGGTGGGTGAATGCAGCCTAGACCTGCCGGTGTGGGATATGCTTTTCAATGACACTTTTAAAATAATGAATTGGGTGCTTGTCAAGGTAGGCAGCAACCTTAGATAGGTGTTGGTCCTGAAGTTCCTCCTTCGGCTGCTGGGGAGCTGGGATCTTTTGAGCTCCAACTTGGGCCTCAGGTAGCAAATTCAAATGCTTTTGGGAACCAGTCCGAGGAACCCAAAGGTATGAAGCCAGTCAGGTAACTGGAGCGTTCCCGCTCAGGCCGAAGAAGGGAGCAGCTACTCCAGCCCAGCTGGTTATTGTCAAGTGAGAATTGTTATCAAGTCCGCCCATTTATCAAAAGAAACCAGAAACACATGTTTTGTTTGTTTGTTTGTTTGTTTTGAGATGGAGTCGCGCTCTGTCGCCCAGGCTGGAGTGCAGTGGCGCCATCTTGGTTCACTGCAAACTCTGCCTCACGGGTTCAAGCAATTCTCTGCCTCAGCCTTCCAAGTAACTGGGATTACAGGCACCTGCCACCACGCCCAGCTAATTTTTGTATTTTTAGTAGAAACGGGATTTCACCATGTTGGCCAGGCTAGTCTTGAACTCCTGACCTCGTGATCCACCCGCCTTGGCCTCCCAAAGTGCTGAGATTACAGGCGTGAGTCACCGCGCCTGGCCCAGAAACACGTTTTTACAACGTATGAAATCTGGTTTTAAGTAATGAGCACCAATTTTAAAACTATTAAATACTCTGTAGGTCTAACAAAACAATTCCAACAGATTACACCTCGTAGGAATTCTACCCTATACAGCCTAGTCTATCAAAGACTTACCTTCTGTGATTGTTTGAAACACTTATCTGTGTCTCATAATTTGCCAGGTTTGATTTTTCTGACTTGTTCTCTAGCTTTTCGTTGTTTGCTCAGCAAGACTATATGCATTTCAAGGGCAGGGGCATGTCTTATTTTTGTTTTTTCCCAATAGTTCTAAGCTGACAGTAAAAACTTAGCAATTTTTAGTGAGTTATAGCCTAACCTACCCCATTCCACAAAATATTTGACAATTTCTACATAAATGCATGCATGCTATAGAAAATAAAACAAATAATTAGATGCATCAGAGTAAATACGTGGACTTGGCCTTCTAATCAAGTGCTTTTATAGGCACGGTACTTGAGTGAGTTTCCTCAGGATAATATCCAATTGTTTTTGTTAGATTATATGCAGACCCAGAAGCTTGGGAGGGTCCCTGGAACGTGGGAAAAACTCACACAGTGTGAATAAAGGACAAGGCAAGTGCAATGACCTTGGAGAATGAGGTCTGTGAATAGTAAGGCAGAGAGATCAGGATGTGAGATCTACGACCCACCTGGAACTAAGAACCAAAATAATGAATGACTGCCTCTCTGTGGAGCTTCTTTCAGTTGTAAGTGACAAACATAAAATTGAAACTGGCTTAGGCAAAAAGAGGAACGTATTTGAAGGATGCTGAAATAATATCCTTCCAAGCCATAGGACAAGAAAGGATTCATTTGGACCCACAGGAAAATCTGAACCAGATATATCGTGGTAACTCTGTGTTTCATCTCTGTCTGTTCATTTTCTCTCTGTGCAGCTTCATTTTCTCCCTCAGCAGCAGGCTTCCTCTGTGCATTAGGGAACAGAACGACCAACAACCTCCATGCCTCCCATCTCACAGCTTCTACCCCCAGAGAGAACTGCTTTGCACTCTTCTTATAGCAAGATGGAAACCCTTGGGGAAGGGTTCTGAATGCCTCACTGGAGTTTAGATGCCCACCTCAGAGCCATCCCATTCAATGATGACAGCTAGGACAGGAGTGGCCATGACTGGCCTGGCTTTGGAAAGATACCCAACATGGAGTAACAACATGGCAGCCTTTATTTAAACCACATGGTTCCTTTTAGGAGATAAACATTTCCAAGAAGAAGAGGACACTTCCTAGAAGAAGGGAAGGGTGCTGGCAGATCAAATGTCCCTGAAGTTCATATAGCACTTGGCTACAAATGGCTTCCATTTATATCATCTCATTTTATTTGTCCCTCACAAAACTGTGCGTAGTGTAGGGTATCTACAATTGTTCCCATTTGACTGGTGGAATAAATAAGGTTAAGAGAGACTAAGCAACCAAGGTCACATAGCTTTGAAAAATGGCCAATCCAGTACTCAACACACACACACACACACACACACACACACACACACACACACACACATATATATATATATATATATATATATATATATATATATATATATATATATATTCTTACTTCAATTCCAATACTCATTCCACTATACAGGAGGTGAGTGGGAAGGTTGTGACTTTCCAGAAAAAGAATTTTTTATTGCAAGATCATGCTTTTCTGAATAATATAAAGCCTGGCTGGTAGATCTTTAACTAGGCTGCTCCTCCTCTGCTTTTCAAGGTTTGCTGGAATTTCTTGAGATGCAAGCAGCTGACCTCGATGACCCTCTCTGCTCAGTTTAAGGATTTTGTTGTCTGTCCAAGATCCATATCCAAAGATTCCAGATCCATCCCTACTCCACTCCTGAGTGTGTAATTTGGGGTATTTAGAGGTACTTCTGCCTTATGAAATGGCTGGCGTCCTCTGGGCCAGAAGCACGACTACCCATTGGAAAAGAACTGAGACAGGGGAGAAAACATTGCTGGGAATGCAGTACCAACTGAGATGAAGATGATCCTTCCATTTTTTCAGCTGAGAGCAGCACTGCTTGCCACTGGTGGATAGCACAGCCCTATATTGAGTACTATGGCCATGGTGGCAAGATACTTGGCATCTTTCATGCAAAGATGAAAGAAACAGGCCTTCTCACCTGTATCACCAGAAGACTCCTGTAGACTCACTGTCTCATGGTCTCTCCTGCTTTTGAGACAAATCATGAATATGCATCTTTTTTTCATCCCGCTCATCAATGCCCAGAGAAGTCCTGGATCTAACTGATTTGACTTGGATCAGCCAGCCAGGCTCCGTGTCCAAGCTGCCTCGCCTGAGTGTAGTAAGTGCAGCATACTAAAAAGAAAGAATTACTCTTGACACCAGGATTATATCATTGCCAAATGCATCGATAATCTATTAAAGATGTGGAATAATATAACACTACTTATCAATTGAGGGAAGCCATCCCGAGGAGGAGGCAAGTAAGGTTTCGATTTCCCTTTCTGGATGAACACTTTCCCTCCATCCCACAACGATTTGCTGTTCCCTAGGTTTGGCCTCATGCATAATTCAGTGATCCGCGTGGCAGGAAAACATTTAGAAAACTTCTTTTGCCTTCTCCAGGAGGCTGGGGCAAAGGTGGCTTACAGCTATTCATCCATGCAAGGAAAGCTATCTCTGCTGCAGCCCACTGGAAGAGACGGGGCCATGGCCTCTCTCATTCCCATTAGGGGACTTGCCTAAGGGTGACATAATGAATTGCTCTGACCCAGTCAGAGAAGAAAAATACAGGTTGGATAAGATAAATTGATGCCACCCCAGTCTTTCCAGCAGTGCTGGTGAGGACAAACTCCTGCCTTGAGGTTTTGCTTTCTCAGAAGAAAACAGTAGTGTTTTTATCTTGTCGATGAAGGTGAAGGAATGGAGTTCTCTGGGGTGTTACAGGGAAACTTGCATGAGTTGGCTGGTCCCTAATGTTACATTTATTCAAAATTTAATGATCCCCTACTATGTTCCAGGCACTGGGCTAGGTCCTGGGAATACGTTGAAAATCAAACTCGAAACACTCAGAATGTACTGGGAGACACACACAAGTATATAAACTATTGTATTTTTCATCTTTGATGACTGAGATGTTAGAATCATTTATTGTTTTTATTTTTTCTTCAGGTAGATATTTTTGAAGCACAAACTATGTGCCTGAGCCTGCACTGGATGCTGAAAATACAGCAGTGAATGAGACAAGATAAGGTTTCTAGTGAGGAAGATGAACAGTAAACCAGTACACGAAATACATGCACAAGATAGTTACAGATTGAAATATACCCTCTGAAGCAAAGAGTGAATGATATAATAGAAAGTGAAGGGAGTGGGGGTAACTTGGAATAAAAATATCTCTCAGAAAAGGTGATATCTGAGCTGAACTTTATGGATTAGAAGAAGCCAGTCATACAAAGAGATGAACAAGGAATAATGTTGACAACAATGGTGTGGCGGTAAATGTTTTACAGCCAGCTCTCTGGGGGAAAAGAAAACCCTGATTTTCAGTGGTTGCCAGTTACCATGGTGTAAATACTCCCACATTGCCAGTTTAAAGCTGCCAACGTGATATCCCTTCATGCAGATTTGGGAAGAGATGTGTACAATGGATCCTCACTAGCCTATGAGAGCCGCCTCCAGCACACCACCATTTGCCAGTTACCTGGCCATACTGAGGGGCAAGTAGGGACTGGGTCCTGGTCAACCCTAAGGGGTCAGACAACAAGATGATGAGACTAGAGAAGGTTCTCTGGAGCTACAGGTTGGGAATCAGAAGTGCTACATTCAGACACAACCATGATATATTATATGTAGAGTATGCCCCACCAGTCAGTGCAAAAGGCATCATACCTTATCCTTCTTGATCCTATTTAAAAATTGGATATTCCCACACCACCCACCTCGATATTTTATACAAATAAGCTCAATTTGACTCTGTGTGTGTGTGTGTGTGTGTGTGTGTGTGCATGGCTGGATGAATAAGGCATGGCATTAGGGGTACAAAACTGAGAAATACTAAGTCCCTGCCCTCATGGCTCTGGCAGTCTGATAGAGAAAAGGGAAATAGGGAAAGAAAACTAACATTTACTAAACATCTACCACTAACATAGAGAGACCAGTAGAGGGAAACACAGATAGATCACATGTATTTGCTATGATATAAAGAAAGGATTTTTTATAGTTTAATACAACTCAAAATATTAAAAGGACAGAATTTCTGGGCCAGTTGGACTACATGGGTGGTTTCTCTTGGCTCAGACCAGGAAAAAAAAATCTGGTAAGAGTTGGTCTTATTACTGTTTTGATGATCACCTTGTTTACCCATCAAGGAGGCTTTGGGAAGGACCCAGGAGCTCAGCTTATAGACTTTGGCCATTGACAGTTTCCAAAACCAAGAATCTAGAACCCAGAGAGATGGATAACATGGGAGAGTTGTCAATTCATAAAATGCTTTAGCAATACCCAGAGACTCATGGGAGTTAATATTACCATCCTCTACTTGGCATGCAGATACTATAATTTACAATATAAAGTTTACATGAAAGGAATTGTTCTCTCTGATTGGCATTTGGGAGATGGTCCCTGAT